AAATCTCTCTCCCGGGACACTGTGCTGTTTCCCCAGGGAATTGCTCATCCTTCACTGTGTCTTAGAGTCCTCCCTTCCTCCTCCATATATACTCTGTGGAGCAGCCCTGTGGGTACTGCCTGGATTAGTGTCGTGGAGTCTAATCTGCCACTAGAGTCATCAACCTCATCAGCATCATTCTCCATCTCTAAAATGGGGCAATAATAAACCTCTTTCATGGGGAATCAAGGATTAAATGATGCAAGTTTGTGTAGTACATGGCCCAGCACCTGACATTGTAGCTAGAGTTTTCCGGCCTTGCCCACAGTCAGGACAAATCTCTGTCACCTGCCAGTCCCACAGCCGCTCAGACCCAACCAAGTAAACACAGAGACTTATATTGCTTACAAACTGTATGGCCGTGGCAGGCTTCTTGTTAACTGTTCTTATATCTTAAAGTAACGCATTTCTACAAATCTATACCTTGCCACGTGGCTCGTGGCTTACCAGCATCTTCACATGCTGCTTGTCCTGGCAGTGGCTGGCAGCGTCTCCTTCTGCCTTCCTGTTCTTTTATTTCTCCTCTGTTAGTCCCGCCTATACTTCCTGCCTAGCCACGACCAATCAGGTTTTATTTATTGACCAATCAGAGCAACTTGACATACAGACCATCCCCCAGTACAGCCAAGTGCAGACCATCTCAGACACCTGCACTCAGGCCCATGGTCCTAATCATCCTCTATGCAAACCTGCTGGGTAACGCCACAAGGAACCCAAGAAGGGCTCCCACAGGACATACATTAACATCCCACAGCATGACATAGTGACCCTGTGAGGAATATAGTGATTTTCTTGGTTCTGGTCCTTATTACATTGGTAATACAATGAACTGTTTGTGAGCATGTCCCCCATTGCCACAGGCAGGGTACATCATGAGGCCAGGAGCTGTGTCTTCTGGAGTTTAGTGTCTCCAAGTGGCTAGCACAGGACCTGAGTATAAAAGATGCCTCCTGAAGTTGTCAACCAAGTGGACAGAGTTCAGCTGTGACATTGGGGTAGTGGGGATGCTGATGACCCTGGCCACCACAGAAAGCAACCAGGTCATAGCTTACTGGGGTGGAGCTCACTGGCACGAGCTGCCCCCACAGCTTTCCGGTCTCTACCCTCCTCCAGGGTGGGGCCCAGGCATGGAACTGAGTGTCTCAAGATCCCCAGCAGCTCCTCTGTCCTGCTTTACAACCAGCCACCACTACCCCAGTCAGCCCGGGTTCACCTGCCTGCGCTCTCTTGTACAGGGACAGAGATTCAGGCATGGGGCTGGGGTGGGAACAGGATCAGAATGTGGGGACTTGTCTGTCTTTCTAGCTGATAGAAAAAAAATCTATCTTGTCTGATAGATAAATACCGGGCACAGAAGGCACTAAAGTTAGCCTCCCTGGCGCTGGAGAATGGCAGCTGGAAGTCTCTGTCCATGGTCCTGCTTTGAGCCCATGGTTCGTGGGGGATACTGACGAGGATGCTGAGGACATTGCATTCATCAGGACATACATTTAGGAGACGGGTTATGTCTCAAAAGATTGGACTGGGTGATTAAGGAAGAGTGAATAGGGATAAAGGTCACTTCCTGCTCTCAGACGCCCAAAGCCAACAATACTCATGTAGAATGAGGTGGACTGGGGTTAGCTGGAGCACATGGAGAAGATCCAGGGCTGGTACAGCCAAGATGCATGTACAGAGGCTTGTGGTGCAGAGCAGAGATGGCAGCCAATGCTCTTGTTCTGTGGCAGCCAGCCTCACCTTGGGTCTAGTGTTCAGTTCCGACAGGCACGTTTTCGGGTGGACGTGTCCAGCCAGTCATGTCAGCGGATGATTAGGATGATGGGGTGACCTAGACTGGTTTGTGTAAGCAGTGGCTGGAGAGACTTTGCTTAGGGAGTAGAGATGTGCTGAGGTCACAATAGAGGCAATCCCTAAAAGCTCTGTGTGTGTGTGGGGGGGATTGGACCCATTCTGTGTATAGCTAATGTAGCACTGCCCTTTAGAAATTCCTGCAGGGATTGAACTGTTGTTATACATGAGCTGTGTGATAGATAACAGACATATGTGGCTGTGTGTACATGGATGTGTGTGTGCGTGTGTGTGTGTGTGTGTGTGTGTGTGTGTGTGTGTGTGTGTGTATAGTGTAGGTGCATGATCATATGTGTATATACATTTGTGTCTGCATGTGTACAGGTATCTTTTTGGCTGCTCTCCACCTCAGTTTATGAGATAAGATCCTTCACTGAACTTGGAGCTCACAGATTTGTACAGTCTGGTTGGCTAGCCAGTCCCAGGAATCCCCCTGTTTCTGACTTCCCCATTCTGGTATTACCATGTTCCACAGCTGCTACAGGGATTCTGGGATTAAAATCAGGGCCCCCATGTTTGTGTGGCTTTACCACCTGAGCCATCTCCCCAGACCACCCCCCCTTTTTTTTTTACAGTTAACAATGATTGCAGATTGAACTTTAGACAATACAATTTTAAACTGAAGTATTAGCCCACATGGTCAGTGCCACTGTGTGGGATACCAACCCTCTAGAGCAGTGGTTCTTAACCTGTGGGGTGCGCCCCTTTGGCAAACCTCTATCACCAAAAATATTTACATTACAATTCATCACAGTAACAAAATTATGTTACAAAGTAGCAATGACAATAATTTTATGGCTGGGGGTCACTTCAACATGAGGACCTGTATTAAAGGGCTGCAGCATTAGGGAGGTTGAGAGCCACGGCTCTGGAGGACAAATACAAGAATAGATCAGGGACCAACTATTTCCTCTAAAACACATGTTAGCAGACATATTTGTCTCACCCTGCCTCAGAGTCTTCAAAAGCAATATACAGAAAGAGAAATGAGCATGACCACGCACCAGCAAAACTCTATCCATGGACACCAAGGTTTTAATTTAGCATATTTTTTTACATGTTACAAAAACAGTATTTTTCTTTTGATGCTATTTTTCAACTCTTTAAAAAAATGTGAGAGTCACTCTTAGCCCACAGGTCATGAGAGAGCGGGTGTCAGGCTGGCCTGGCCTGCAGGCGGTGGCTCACTGCTCTGGCCTTGGCTGTGGGTGGATGCTTTAGGGAGAATCATAGGTCAGTCCAGTGAAGAGGATGCTCAGCTTGATAGAGCCAGCGGGAGATGCAGCATCCTGAGCAGTCCTGGCTAAATAACCAACTGTCCATCAAAGGTGGTACGGGGAATGTCCTCTGGGCACAAGCTATGGCGGTGTGTTCCTCTAGTTCTGTAGCCATGTTGAAGTGAGGAGACTTGGGGATGCTGTAAATACACTGCTTTGCAGAGTAAAGTCGCCCACGCTCACTTGGCTCTTCGTCTCAGCCACATGGGGCTGGGTTAGGAGCTCTCTGGGTGCTAAGCTGGCTTCCTTGCTCCATTATTATTATTATTATTATTATTATTATTATTATTATTATTATTATTATTATTTTTTACCACATATTCAGGGCTCCCTTAAATGTACCTTAGTGGAGGTTATGCTCAGTAGGTGTGGTAGACATCTTTCCCTTACTGTGACTAAATACTTGAGATAACTCATAAGGAAGAAAGGTTTGGGTTAACTCCTGATGTCATCCAACGCTTCAGCTCATGGTTGATTGGCATTGGGATTTTGGGCCTGTGGTAGGCAGAACATCATGGAAAGGGAGCCACATGGTAGAGGAGGCCTATTCACCTCTGCACTGTCAAGTGGTCAGGAAGGAAAACAAAACAAAGACAACCCAGTAAGACTAAAAAGGTCTTCGCTTCACTATGCCCCCATTCCTAAAGGTTTTTACGACCCAACACAGCAATGGGCTGGGATGTAGCTCCGTGGGCCGAGTGCTTACTTAGCGTGGAGTGGTGGAGCTCTGAGTTACATCCCCAGCACTGCATGAATCGAATGTGGAAGCACACACATGTAATCTCAGCATTTACGAAGTGGGGGCAGCAGAATAAGAAGTTCAAGGTCATCCTCAGATCTATAGTAAGTTGGAAGCCAGCCCAGGATACGTGGACCCCTGTCTCAAAAAAAAAAAAAAAAAAAAAAATCCACCTGACCAAACCACCCATCCACCCACCCACCCAACCAAACACTCTAACAAAAACCAAACCAAGAGTGTCACGGGCTGGGCAGCAACCCCTTAACACATGGATGGGCCTTCAGATTCGTTCAAGATCCCAACTATAGCAGTGAGGAGACTTTGCTGAGAATATCTAAAGCCTCCACCCTCTGCCCCACCCTGCCCAAGAAAGGAAAGTCCCTGGGTCAAACACCTCTGTGTTCTGCCATTTAGGCCCCTGTAGCAGACAGGTGGCTGGGTCTTGAGAGCCTTTGCCCTCATGTGGATGGGACATGCCTCATCCTGTGACGGCAGAAGGTCCCCCCTCCCACTTCCTATCCTCCTCCTCTGACAAATGGGGAGCCACAGCTCCAGCTGAGCCTCGGAGTATGCAGTGGTGGGCATGGCCTGCCCGGGCTGCTGACCTAGTCTTGGGACATTTAGAGTTGTCATTGTTTCTCATTGTGACAACGTAGCTTCCCTTTCTTTCCTCATTTCCCCCTGACTTCTTTATACTTACAGTCGGCATTTCTGCCAAACAAACAAACAAAACAGATAATCAATAAACTGCAGTGCCTGTCAGGGAACATGCTAGAAGTGTTACATTTTTATGCCTTTTCCACGCTTAGCTCCTTTAGACTAGTTTTTCCTACATCTTTGTACAGGCTGCATAAGGAACAGAAAACGTTTTAAAAAAAAAATGCTACTTGGGAAGTTTCAAAGCAAACGTCATAGGCAGAAGACAACAGACCCGTGTGCCCATTGCCATTTTGAGCAGTGGCTAGCTCCCGGCCAGTTTTGTGTGGCCTCCACCTTGTCCTCTCCTCCTATGGTGTCTGGGGACAGAGCCGCAGGGAGTTTTGGGTAGCGGCACAGATCACATGTGCACAGTACTGACTGTATGTGTTCTCTTTCAGATAATCGCCTTCGATGAGTTAAGGACGGACTTTAAGAGTCCCATAGACCAGTGCAACCCTGTCCACGCGGTAAGTGGTGGTGCTGGTGGTGGGCAGGGAGTGTCCCCATGGGTCACCGGGCTTGTGAAGGACAGTGGGGGTTTTAAAGAGCAGAATAAAGGAGAACACACTGTCCTGGTCCTGCCTCTACTCCTTGCTGGTAGTTGTTACAGAGCCTCCTTGCTGAGGTCGGCTAAGCTCTTGCAATACGGTACCAGTCAAGTGTGGCATTTCCTGTAGCCCAGGGGCCGGGGATCTGCTGTATTGTGGTGCTGAGTCCTCAAGCCTGGTGCCTGTGATGTTTGGTTCCGTATCTGTGGCCATAGACAAAGGCTCTGTGTTGTCCAGCATGTCTGTAGGGTGAGCGAGGACCGTGTATGGACTGCTTGCTCTGCGGGAGGCGGTCAATGCCTGCGTTTCTGAGGGTAGACAGATGGATGCAGCACCAGGTACAGCCCCATTATCTGGTAGGCTTTCGTCTCTGGTGCCTGTGGCTTGGCGTCAGCTTGTTGTGCACCAGGGAATCTGGTGCGGTCTAGTTGATGAGCTCTGGGTTCCGTTTCTGGATGTAAGGTCTGGAACCCAGCGCTGCCCATCTCCAAAGCCCATCTTATGACCATCAGTTCAAGCTGGCTCTTGAAAAGACTTGGCTTTATACTATCTAAGCCCCGCTTCAGGGTGACAGTCTTTGATTCTGTACAGTAGAGCCAAACTATTTCAAAGTCAGCTATAAAAAGCAAACTGCGTTAGTTCAAAGTACCCCCAAGAACCACTTGAAAGCTTAGTGTATTTCATAAAAGTTGTAATTTTATTCTCCTCTACCAGTCGTACCCTCCACCTGTGATAGCTTGGCTCTGCCAGGCCTGAATGGTGTTTGCCCAGGGGCTCATGTCTTTCTGGACACTGAATTTGGCACCCACAGCACACACCTGCTCATCAGTACCCATAGGTGCTCACGGTGGCTTGAAGCCAAGCGTGTTCATTTCCAAATGAACTGGTAGGATTCCTGAGCAGAATAAGTGGGGAAGTTTGTCCGGCCCCTTGTTTCTAGCATGCCAGTTCCCTGCCAGCTTGTAGGCACCTGGTGAAACCTGGAGTCTGTTTTTTTTTTTTTTTTTTTTTTTGGCTTATCAGGACAAGTCCTTTATTTAGGCATTAAGTTAGGAATTGCATACCCCCAACCCTTTAGCATAGAGGTAGATTCTTCTGGAAAAAAGATAGTGCAGAAAGAGCAGTCACTAGGTAGCATCCAGAACTATTTGCCAGAGACAGAAATGGAAACTGAAATATGAAGGTGTGGACCTCTACACCTTACTCTTCCTAAGCTGCTGGGGTAGAGTCCAAGCCTTTGGACACACATACGTGCTTTACCACTGAACTACGTCCCAGCTCTAATTTTTTTGTAAACTCCTATTACAGCAACATTTCTAATTAGTTATCAGATTAATTAAGGAGCTGAGTTCTGTGAAGCCCAGACGCAGACAGACCGAAGCCTGAGGTGCCCCTGGAGAAGAGGGATTAAAAACAAAGCTGAAACATCCTGAAAGCTATAATTAGGCGAGCATGTCGACATGTTATGATTTTCCCTGTTGTGGGGACATTATGTCCCAGCAGGGAACGAAATGCATCAGCCACTGCTTGTAACTATCTCCAGTCCTCTGGCCTCCTGAAACCTCCAGAGAGAGCAGCGTTCAGGCTCTGAGACTTACACACTTGCCTCACTGGTTGACAGTTCTGGCTCTAGAGGAACTTGGGTCCCAAGAACTTGCTGACTGTGCAATGCATTTCTTAATGAGGGCATGAAATCCATTTGATTTTTTTTTTCTTTTTTCCCTCCTTTTCTTAGGGTAGGCATAGAACTCAGATCTTTGGACAAGCTAGGGAAGCCCTCTGCTACTGAGCTATGACCCATGCTCCGTAGATTAAAGATGCCCTAAAGCTTTGAGTATTGGTGGAAGTTTTGGTGGACCTCTTCCAGGGCAGGAAGGTTCCCTTCCCATTCTCCACCCCCACTGGGAAGTCTCTGTCACAGGGAGGGACAGTGTTTTCCTGCAGGGCTCTGGCTCTCTGGAGTACGTGTGTCTCTTGCTTGTGTATGCATCTGTATGAATTCTCTCACATGTATAACTTGTCTTCCCTGCCGCGTGGGCAATAACTCATCCTGATGTGGCTCCTTCCTCTGTGTTTATGGGCGGCACAGAGATCACTGTATTTATGATCCAATTAGGGAAACTGAAGTGTCCCACCCACCTGTCCTCTTCTGATCCACAAGGAAACTCATCACCATTATGTCTACAGTGACCAAATTGCTTCGGTAATGAAGCACCAGAGATGCCACAGCTGTGTTCAGCGTGGCTCAGAAATCTTGACAGTTATAGCAGAGAAAGGAAGCTGGGGCATTTTACGTCTGCTGCGGGCAGCATCCTCTGCTCAGCTTCATAGCATCTTTCCGTGGAACTGAGCCAGTCCTTGGAGACAGATGGACTTGACTTCTAGAAAAGCCATAGCCCAGGGCACAGTTGGTAGCCTGACTCCAGGGAGGACATGTTTCCTCCAAGTACACTCACACAGAGAAGGCAACACAACATAGTATCCACTAATAAGGATACAAGCTTCTTGCTCTTAGGGATCCAGCAAGGTGTCCTGTGCCTGAGATACGCAGTGAGCATATGGTGGCCACGCTGCATCCAGCCCATCTGCTGTGAATGCATGGAGACTTTGACTATAGGAAAATGAATGCTGGGTGGTGAAAGAAGAATGCATTCTTTTGCCAGGAGTGTTCTTTTGTAAAAATAGATACATTATCTGTGTGCATGCTCATGTGTGTGTGCGCATGTGTGCTGAGGCTAGAGGTTGATGTTACATGTCTTCCTTAGTTTCTCTGCACAGTTTTATTCATTTGTTTGTTTTGTTTCTGCTTTTTAAGGTGGGCTCTGTTATAGGGCTGGAAAGATGGCTCAGTGGTTAACATTCTGTACTGCTCTCACAGAGGACCTGAATTTGGTTCCTAGCACCCCCGTAAGTTGTAACTCTAGCTACAGGGGATCTGATGCCCTCTTCTAGGCTCTGTGGGTACCTATGTTCATGTGCACATACCCACACTTTTACACACACACACACACACACATACACACACATACACACACACCACAATTAAATCACCATCATAATAAAAGACAGGGTCTCTCAATGAATCTGGAAGTCTTGGATTTGGCTAGACCAGCTGGTGAGCAAGCCCCAGGGATCCTCCAGTCTCTGCCTCCCCAGCACTGAGATGAAGGATGCATGCCACAGCAGCTGGCTCATTACATGGGTTCTGGGATCTGAACTCAGGTCCTCATGCCTGCAGTGGCAAACACTTTACCCCCTGAGCCATCTGCCCCGGAGTTCCTTTAAGGGTGAATTTCCACCAGGTATGGTGGCTCATGCCTGTAAAACCAGCGCTTGGGAGGCTGACACAGGAGGAGTTTCATGAGTCTGAGGCCAACCTAGGTTACACATGAACTCCATGATAGCCTGTGCTACACAGTAAGACCTTGTCTCTAAAAATAAAACCCAACAAAACAATGAAAGAACAGAAAGCAAGTGGTTCTGATGAGGTGAAAGCAAGCTCAGACTGTACTGGGAAGAGCCACCGGCATGTGCCTAGACTGAGTCTCTGGTGGGTTCTGCTTCCTCTGCTGGGGTGATTATGCACGTCTCATACTCCCAGCCCACCCTTAACCTCCTGTTTCCTTTCTTCCCTGCGCATCCTCAGAGGGAGCGGCTGAGGAACATCGAACGCATCTGCTTCCTTCTGAGAAAGGTCAGAGGGGTCCCGCAGGTGGAGGGAGGGAGGGTCATAGGGAAAGGGGTCATCGGGTGAGGGGCAGCAGGGAGGGCACGGTAGGAGCAGGCCTCCGTTCTTTGAAAATCTTCAGAGGCAAGAGGGACTGATTACAGGAGGCGGCCTCCAGTCAGGTGTCAGCAAGACACTGGCTATGTCCACGGGCTCTCTGTCTGGAGTTGCAGGGTGTCCCTTTTCTGTGCGATGATGGTTAGCATTTACATCTCCTGCCGTCTCCCAGGCTTTTCTTCCTGTCTGTGCTGGGCTCGGGATTTTAATGACACCTCCTGATGTAAGGAAGTTTTTGACTAGATGCCGGGTGTCTTGAGGTTCGAACCTGGCACTCGGCTTTGCAATTTGGCCTTTCGGCAAGACCACTGGGTGTGTTGGAGCCGTGGGACAGGAAAGTGCTGTCACAGAGGGGCAGTAGACCACAGCCACCCCAAGTTTCTTCTGGAAGTACGTGTGCATGCATGCCACCCAGGCTGGGCGTTTGGCGTTGTCTGTTCAGACTCTGCCCTTCTCCAGCCAGCAAAGTAAGTCAGCAAAGCCTAGAGAAGAGGGACTCACGGGTGAAATGAGCAAGGGCCATGGCCTTGAGCCAAAGGCTGTTCCTGGCCTCAGTACAGAGTGGAGGGTACTGGCCACAGGAAAACCACCATTGCCCAAATACAGCCTTTTGCAAAACCAAGGGCCCCATCAACACTGACATGGGAAAGAGTTTTTACAAAGTTTTAAAATTCTTTTCTGTATTTCACTGGAGGGAGCCCAATCTAGAAGCCCATCATTTCTCTAGCTAATAACTTAGCCTTTGATATTTTCTAAGAAACATGGTCTGTTAGAATTCCGCATGTTATTTGTCTCAGCAGGAATGCATGCTCAGATAAGAACACGCATTTGATAATATTAGTGATCCAAGGAATAAAGAATGACTAAGAAAATAGCATATCATTTGCATTAAAAATGTGTAAAATGCTTCCTAGATAATATCACAGACACCGGCAATCCACTCCGGTCATCAATTCCATATTCTCTGGTTTGTTCTTTAAGATAATGCCTAGGTGATATAAGCCCGAGGAAGACAAAATCAAACTGTTGTCTCTCAGCCTCCAAGTCGCTGCCTTCCCATCCTGAGTGCGTCACCCTGTGTTCTCGGGCAGGTGATCACCCATATTCACACCCCTTAGCCTTACCTAGCCTTCTGTTACCTGACCGCAGACCGGCCACAGGAGGCGATGGCTGGAGGTTGCCCCTTCAAGGTCCTGCTGCCTTCAGTCTTGTGCCCTAGGCTTTTCCAAGGTCAGAGCAAGGATGTGGAGTAAGCTGTGCAGGAATTCGCTTTGACAATATGCAAATCTGCATGTGGTTTGCATCTGCCCCTCTGAGCAGTAGACAGAAACGCTTTACTCAGGAAATGTTGTGTTCCAAGGGCCTTTTCCTTACCCCTTCCTTTCTGGCTGCTACCTCCGATGATAGTTAGACACAGTTGCTGCTCACTGCGGTGGGCAACATCAAGGAAGACAGTCCAAGATAGACATCAGAGAGCAGGAACCCTGAGCTGACTGACTCAGGCACAGTAGCTGTGTGAGATCATTCCCCTGCAGCCTCATGGTTCTCTGGCTCCATGGAGTGGCCAGCACTGGGGGGCTAACAAGGCAAGTGCCTGCCACTTTATTCCTCCCAGGAGTCTCCCTTCTGCTCCAAGCGCTTGCCCCAAGCCTGGCTTTTGGCTTAAGATGCTATGTATTCTTTGCCTTTGTGTCTGCCATCCTGGGTACCCAAGACGGTTTCCACTGATGTCAGCAGAGCACCATTTCTTTCTGAGTGTAATTTTGAGTCAACAACTTCTGCATCTGGCCATTGGGAACCTGCTACAGTTCACATCTTCTTTAGCTTAACTTGGTAACTCTATAGGCTATTCCTACAGATATGCTTCAGTGTGCTCTGCATGAGGCCTGTCTCTGCGACTAGAAGGCTCAGGAAGGTCAGTGATGTTGAGCGGATCATCAGATACAGTGACAGTGAATGGAAAGCAGTGTGTGGCCTATTAAAGATGCTCACTCTGTGGTTATTAAGTGAGTAAATAATAGCTATTTTGGTCCCTCTTGTTAGAAGCAATGCTGTAGTCTTCATTTTGGGGTTGCCAGGACAGTACCAAATATCTACAATGCACTGACCTTGCCCCTTAGAGATGGCATTTATTTATTTATTTATTTATTTATTTATTTATTTATTTATTTATTTATTTAATCTGTCTTTTTTTCTGTGTATGTGGTAGGGTCTTATGGAGTAAAGGCTGGCCTTGAACTCCTCATCCTCCTGCTTCCACTTTGCTAGTGCTGGGACTACAGGTGTGTGCCTCCGTGCCCAGACTGCTTGCATTTTAAAATAAAAGCCAACTCCATGTCATACTCATTTTCAACTCAGAAGACTTTTAACTTGTAGCTTCTCTGGTCCTATTTGTTCGCTCTGTGTTCATATTTTCTGCCCTTTCTGCAATCAGTATTTAGCTCCACCCCTCAATGTCTGCTTCCAGCCAATCCCAGTTTTTTTTTTTTTTTAGGATTAAAGGATGGTGGTTATCTTAGTCACTGTTCTATTGCTGTGAAGAGACACCATGACCAAGGCAACTCTTATGAAATAAAACGTTTAACTGGGGGCTGGCTTACAGTCTTGGGGGTTAGTCCCTTATCATCATGGCAGGGAGCATGGCGGCATGCAGGCAGATGCTGGGGCAGTAGCGGAGAGCTACATCCTGATCCACAGGCAGAGAGAGAGACACAAAGCTAACCCCCAGTAACACACTCCCTCTAACAGGGGCACACCTCCTAATCCTTTCAAACAGTGCCACTTCCTGGTAACTGGCATTCAAATATATGAGCCTAAGGGGTGGGGAGATTTCTATTCAAACTACCACAGTGGTGAGGAGTCCAACTTCCAATCCTGCTTCTACCCTTAGCATTTCTGTGACCTGTGGAGTATGGCTCAGGATGGCCCTCCTTTTCTCAGGAGGGTAATACTGGGTATCGAACACTGGGTTCACGCATACAAGGCAAGTGATCTACCATTGAGCCACTTCCCCAGGCCTCAGGGTAACTCTTAAGTGAGAGAACAAAACAATTCATCCTCATGGTGTTATCCTGGGAATAAAATTAGATAATATACACATGCAGTTCACAAGTACTTAACACCTGCTAAATGTCGTTGTTAGTGACCTGCCCCTCACTCCTCCTAAAATCCTGTATGGCATTCCCATGGGCACACAGGTTGAGATGATTCTTTGGCTGGTGACATCCTTCCCTCATCTTAGGTAAGAACCATTGGATGTTCTGGAGACAAGGTTGTAAACAGACGTGGTACACAGCCTGGGCCCCTCCCTCCTGTTGTTTATGTTTCAAATGGGCTCCATTCAGATTCCCAAGCTAGGAGTTCCCATTAGGGATAGCGTGAAAGCCCTGTGGATCTAGTTAGCATCCCCACCTTCTGGGAATTGTACCTTCCAAGAAATTTCTTGGAACCAGCCTCCCAAACAGCCCAGAATGTGATACGTCTCAGCAGCTGATTGCTGCTAAGCCACCTCCTCGGCCTTCTTGAGAAGAGGAAAGGGTTGCAATGTGGATCCATTTTTAGCTCTATAATTATCAGAAAGTGTGTTCTTCGGGTAATTGTCGGAGCGGCAGGGTGGTAGTGTCGACTTGGACTCATGATTCATGCCTTGTGGCTTCTTGCACAGCTTTCTCCACCCGGTGTGTAGCAGGCTTCGTGGGCTACTCTGTTTGGGAGCACACTCTGTTTGGGAGTCGTGTCATGGGAGATTTGGCGGCTGCTCCTAGGCACACGTCGGCTTCTCATGGCAGGCAGACTGGGGAAGGGCAGCCTGCTGCGTCTGTGAGTTCAAAGCAGTCTCAGGGAAGGGCTCAAGTGGAGCCCAAAGAATTGGGAAGAGTGTAAAGAGGGGCCTGCTTTATTGGCAGCCATCCTCAGGCCTCGGATTTGGTAGTCCTGGGGTTCCGTTGGCTATTAGACCAGCTATGGCCACGATGATTGCAGAGTTTGGCTGATCTTGCCCAAGGTGGGGGACTTGACTGCTTAGTTTGGAACATCTCTCTTGCTTGACAACTCTGGGATCTTTCTTCATGTCCTAGTTTCTCCCAGAGTATGTCTGGTTCCTCGGCAGGTTTTCTGGTGTTAGCGGATGGAATCAGCTCGGTGCACAAACAGCTTCCACTCTCTTGAGACTTCTCATGGAGATGTGGAGGAATGGGTGAGGTTTGTGGAGGTAGTGGAGCTGGTCTCAGTGGGATGATTGGAGGGGGCGGATGCTCTCTTGTTCCACACTGGACCAACCACAGAGGCAGTAACACTACAGGTATCCCCCACATGCTCCGTGGCCCAAGCTTCCCTCTGTCACAGGGAGGAGTCTGAACGTATGAGATAAAGCTGCCAGTACCAGTTGAATCTATTGTAGAAACTCCATGATGTGGTTCCAAAAGCAGCCACTTTCCCAGTGGAAGTCATTTCTGTTAAACAAGAAGGCTCTGTAGTCTCAATTTGCCACACACGGGTACACAAACCCTTGTACACTGTATCCAGGGCTGGCTTCATGGTTTTTGGGGTCCAGGGGAAAATGACAATATGAGGCTTAGGGAGAGAGAGAGAGAGAGAGAGAGAGAGAGAGAGAGAGAGAGAGAGAGAGAGAGAGAG